GGGGTGTGGCCGAGGATGGAGGCTGAGGGGGCCAAGCCTGGAGGGAGATGGAACCCAAAGACCGAGAGTACAGGTGAAGCGGGGAGGGACTCCAGTGCCCCTCACCCTTGCTGGCCACAGAGATGGGCGATCACCTGGCGAAACACGGTGACGGAGTGAAGGACATCGCCTTCGAGGTGGAAGACTGTGACTACATCGTGCAGGTGAGGCCCTGCGCGCCTCCCAGCCCCCACCCGCGGCGCCCTAGGAGAGCACACGGCAAGGCTCTGCCTGCCCTCTGTCGGCCATGGGGACCCCTCTTGGAGGCAAGCTGAAGCCCCCCCATGTCCAGTGAACAGTGAAGACCCCATACGTTGGTGTGACACACAGCTGAGTTCCAGCGATGCTCTGCCCCTTACTAACTGTGGGCCCTCTGAGCCTCAGTGTCTGCATCTATAAAATGGGATAGCCAGAGTATCGACCTCACTGAGTCGTAATAAAGAGGAAATGAGATTTTAATGATCACTTATGGAGCACAGCGCTGGGTTCAAGAGGCAGAAGAGAGGTTCAGAGCAAGGATTCCAGAGCCAGACTGCCCCGGTCTGAATCTTATTAGCTGTGTGCCTTTAGGCAGGTGACTTAACTTCTCTGAGCCTCAGTCTCCTCAACTATAAAATACAGATGACAATAGTACCTTCCATATAATGTTGCTGGGAGGATGAAAGAGGTCAATACCTAGAACAGGGCCTGACAGGTAACGGCACTGACGTGTAATAAGTACGGCTTGGTAAGTGCATCCATGGGAAGCACTTGGCACAGGGTCTGAGGCATAGTGGATGCTCATTAGATATCAGCTAGTATTGTTCGTATCCACCTACCCTGTTTGCGGATAGGGAAACTGAGGACTGGAGGGAGGAAGGGCCACCGAGTGAGTTAGTAGGGGCAGGACAGACATCCAGGCCTCTGGAACTACCCACATCCACCTGGTTTGTCTCCCATAGCCCCAACTCTGAGCCTGGGCCTCAGTTTCCCTACCTGCCAAATGAACACAAGGTGTGGGTATGGAGAATAAGAGCTGGAGCTGGCAGGGGTGCCTGCCAGGGCTGGGAGAATGGAGGAGGCCAGCAGCAGGCCCACACGGAAGGGTACCAGGCAGGAGCGGCAGACAAGAGCTCTGAGGGCCCGGCCCTCACTGCCTCCCCGACCCCATCTGCTCTGCAGAAAGCCCGGGAACGGGGCGCCAAGATCGTGCAGGAGCCCTGGGTGGAGCAGGATAAGTGTGGAAGGGTGAAGTTTGCTGTGCTGCAGACGGTGAGTGACTTGGTGCCCCCACCCCTCCTGCTTCAGCACCCTCTGGGTTGTAGGGATGCTCCCACTACCCCATTTAACTCCACTCCATCACCTCAGCCTGGCGACCCAAAGCACAGATGTTCTCCCTGGAGTCTCACCCCTGCAATGCTTGGCTGTGTGCCGAGGCTGATGGGAACCACCCGTCCCTTCCCATCTCTCCTTCTTCCCGGCGGGGAGTCATGCGATGGGGTGCAAGCTTTGGTTAGGGGCTTTGAAGAAAGGACACCTAAACAGATGGGGTCTGGGAAGCCACACCCCTCATAGGCTGTGTGACTCTGAGCAAATCACTTCACCTCTCTGTGACTCCATTTAAATGAGCAAGGACTCAAGTCGAAACACCTGCTTGGCCTTTCTGTGCCTCGGTTTCTTCATCAATAACCCCTCATTGGGTTGTTGTAAGGATCAAATGAGATAATCCATGTACAGGATGTAAAACAATAGCGCCTGGCATATCCTAAGTAATCTGGCAAATATTCTCAGTTCTTTTTAGCACCTGTATTATTGTACTAAGGAAACAATTATAGGACCTACCTCCTAAAGATTAAATCAAATTGAAAATCTATTAAAATGCCTGAAAGAGCTCTGCAGCATAATTTGATCCAATGCTCTCATTCACTCTCCATTCGGTCAACACCTTTTTATTGAGCACCTACTCCATAACAGGCACTGTGCTAGGCGCTGGGGTTACCACAACGAGCAAAACAGTATCCTGGCCCTCACGAGCTTCCAGTCTGGGGGCGAGGGAGAGACTGTCAAAGAAACCCCCAAACCAATGAGAAACTACAGATCATTTCAGCAAGGGGAAGTGACTTGCCCAAGGCCACACACGGAGGTAGGGTCACACCAGCTAAAACCCAGGGCTGTGTTGGCTCCTGTGTGATGGGGCCTGGTCTCAGTGGGGACTGGATCTCGGGGCTGAGCTGGGCTGTCTCCCGCCACAGTATGGGGACACCACGCACACCCTGGTGGAGAAGATGAACTACACTGGCCGCTTCCTGCCTGGATTCGAAGCCCCAATATTCATGGACCCCCTACTTTCCAAGCTGTGAGTGCCCTTTGGAGTGGCTGGCCCTGTGGTGGAGTGGAAAGCAATGTCCCCTGTCCCCGAGTGATGTTGGGGCAAAGCATCTGGGAGGCTGCTGGGGAACCCTGAGAACCCCAAGGGTGGCCTAGCGGGGAGCCATCAAGGCTAAGAGCATAGACTCTGGAACCAGACTGCCTGGGTTCAAATCCCAGCCCTGTCTCTTCACAGCCGTTTACCCTCCACAAGTCATTTAATGTCTCCATGCCTCAGTGTCTTCATCTGTAAAATGGGAATAACACAGTACACCCCTGACATGGTCATGGTAAGGATTCACTGAGTTCACACTTGTAAAGTGCCTGGCCCATAGTAAGTGCCACGTAAGTGTGAGCTAGTATCATTATTGGGGCTTCACTGGAAAGGGAGAGGACTGGGGGGTAACATTCTCCTCCCATTTCCCACCCCTTCCCTTTCCTCCAGGCCCAGGTGCAATCTTGAGGTTATCGACCACATTGTGGGAAACCAGCCTGACCAGGAGATGGTGTCCGCCTCTGAATGGTGAGCCCCTGGACAAAGCCCTCCCCCCAAAAGTGACAGGTCCCCACCGGGGACGGGCCCACTTCCCAGTTCTTGTCTCAGGACACTAAAGTGGAAAACAGAAGACAAGGAGGTGTGGGGCTAGGCTGAGGTCACTGGTGAATCCATTCACTCCCAAACTGTCCCCATGGAGCCCAGAGGATGTAAGGCCCAAAGTGATACATAGGTCTCCTTCAGAGGAACCTGGGGAAGCAAAGCGGGGATGTCACAGTCCATGGGGGCTTAGAGGGAGACAGTCACCACCCAAACAGTGCCCCTGTGCAAACCCAAAACAAGCGTCCCTTTGTCAAGGCGCTGTGCTTCTCTCTGCTGGAGGATGACCAGGCTGTACGTATTTTGTTAAGATGAAACACTTGACTCCCAGCTGAAGTTGTAATAAAGGATCAAATCCGTGGTGTCCGTGAAGGGAATAGCATTTCCTGTCTGCAGCCTGGGGACGAATTCTGGAAGGTGGAAACAGGCGAGGAGGCAGCCCTAGGCTGACGCTCAGAGCAGGTGTGCCCTCCCGGCCCCACAGGTACCTGAAGAACCTCCAGTTCCACCGTTTCTGGTCCGTGGACGACACGCAGGTGCACACAGAGTACAGCTCTCTGCGCTCCATTGTGGTGGCCAACTACGAGGAGTCCATCAAGATGCCCATCAACGAGCCGGCGCCAGGCAAGAAGAAGTCTCAGATCCAGGTGGGCCTGCCCCGTGGGAGGAGAGCAGAGAGGCTGGGGCTTCCTGCAGGGGCAGGGGTGCGGGTGGCCAGATCTAGGTGGGCCTGCCCTGGGAAAGGAGAGAGCAGGGGAGAGGCTGGGGCTTCCTGCAGGAGCAGGGGTGTGGGTAATGGGGTGAATGACAGTGGCGTCCTTGTTTCCTGCCCCCAGGAATACGTGGACTATAATGGAGGCGCTGGAGTCCAGCACATTGCTCTCAAGACCGAAGACATCATCATGGCGGTTAGAACCCCATTCCTGGTCCTAATCCACGTCTTGTGCAGCTCCAGGGGCAGCCCCTGCAAATGGAGGGAAGGGGAAGGACTCCCATACGGGTCCCTGCAGCTTCTGTGAAGGCACAGGCCTCCCACCCCGGAAGGCCCAGTCCCTCTGCAGCACACTCTTGGCTTAGAGACAGCAGGTGCCAAGGACTGGATGCCAGTCCTGGTTCTGCCCGTGACTTGCTGTATGTCTTTGGGGGATTCAGCTCACTCTCTGAGCTTCAGTTGCCCTACCATGAAAATAAGGCTATATTAGACTACAGCCAAATTATGTTCTTTCAGCCAAATTTAGTGTCCTGAGTCTGCGGATCTAGCCCTTGGGGAGGCCAAACCAAAAATGAAACCCATTGCCATCGAGTTGACCCCGACTCAGAGCAACCCTATTGGACAGAGTAAAGCTGCCCCACTGGGTTTCCAAGGAGCAGTTGGTGGATTCGAACTGCCGACCTCTTGGTTAGCAGCCTGAGCTCTTAATCACTGTGCCACCAGGGCTCATTCCCATGTGGCAGTATGGCAGAGCGCACAAGAGCCTCGACGCTGGATTCACCCTGTTCCCTCCAAACCCCAAGCCCTACCACAAATTCACTGTGTGATTTTGGCAATGACATCCATTCATCCATTCCTTCAGTAGATGTTTGCTGAGCACCTACTATGTTTCAGGCACTGTTTTAAGCACTTGGGATACATCAGCAAACAAGACAATAGTTTCTGCCCTTATGGAGATA